GGGGGGGGGGGGGGGGGGGGGGGGGGGGGGGGGGGGGGGGGGGGGGGGGGGGAGGGAGGAGTCCAACCCCAAAAATTTTTAAGTTTAAAAAGTTGATCAGAATGGAAAATATTTGGTCAAAATAGTTTGATCACTTTTTAAACGAAATTAGGAAAGATATAAATGCGATTTATGGAAAACCAAATTAGAGCAATATACTGTACAGGACGAATTAACATATACGTAGCTTGAATAATATACCATTCCACATCTCTTCTGGTGAGTTTCAGATATCATTTCAAGCATGAAAACTTTGGTATATATATGAGCATGCTCATGAATAAACTACTGGATTTTGGTACATATAAGTATGAAGGATTCGGGCGCTTTCTCAGTATATTTTTTAATATACTCCTCGATATAATTTTTTTATTTTCATATACAATAAATGATGTAACCACAAATGAAAACATATATCAGTAGATGTACTCATCTACTATTTCTCAGGTAAAAATGCCTTTTTTCAATTACTCTTTCATTTGAAATATCCCAAGAAAAATCCCAAGGTATTTCCTGAAGAAACAATCCCAATAAAATCCCAATCACTTCAAACTGTCCCAAGATCTTGGGATGGCAACACTGATAACACTCAAACACGGCAAAACCACTGGGCAAAATATTCCTGAGTGAGCCCACGATGCCATGGAATGAATGCTCAGCGACATAATCGCACCTTTTGAGAGAATAGGATCCCTGCTGAGACAATACACAATGTACTACCATGAAATCACTAGGTTTCGGTGGTTTCGTCAGGTGGCATTTAAAATAACATCGCGCGAAGTTTTATTCTTTAGCAGCAGTTGTTTTATAAACAAGTATAATCACTGAAAATGTAGCCAGTTTATGGGATTATAATTTTTATGTTACTTTTATACAGAATAGCCTCCCCCCCCCGAACCCGCGACCTTCGAATTAGCAGATCAATGTCTACCAACTGATCATTTTAGCATACGCTCAGAATCACTTTTTGAAGCTTTATGACAGTTAGCTATATACCTGCTTATATTCATATAGCGTTGAAAAACATGAAAAATAGTTAAAAAGTGTAAATCAATCAATGATACTATAAAATTCGTGCCACTTTGCATTAAATATGAACTCCAAATATCCATATTTTCTTTTTAAATTTGGTGAGCGATTGAGAAGCGTACTAATATTTAAAAAAAATTGAAATGCCATTTAAATTATAGCCCTGGCTAAACTGGATGTTCCTGTTAAAATACTGATTAAATGAAATGAAATAAAATAATGGCATTATAAACTTTGCATTATCTAGCTTAGTATCATCTTCCTACATTTTCATCCTAGTGGTCCAGTATAAGAGTCATCGCTTATTGATCCATGCAGTGTTACTACAGGAGGAAACCTAAACTAAACTAAACTAAACTGTATGTCTGTATAACTTTATTTATACTGGATAGCTCTATCAGTTCTGAACCGTTCTTCCTATAGAGGTCCAGACAGTTAGGATCATCTCTTATTGATCCAGTGTTACTACAGGAGGAAACCGAAACTAAACTAACTTTATTTATACTGGATAGCTATATCAGTTCTAAACTGTTCTTCCTAGAGGTCTAGTAAGGATCATCTCTTATTGATCCAGTGTTACTACAGGAGGAAACCTAAACTAAACTAACTTTATTTATACTGGATAGCTCTATCAATTCTAAACTGTTCTTCCTAGAGGTCCAGTAAGGATTATCTCTTACTGATCCAGTGTTACTGCAGGAGGAAACCTAAACTATAAACTAATTTTATTTATACTGGATAGCTCTATTAGTTCGGCTTTAAAAACAAAACCGGATAGGCCAAATTTGTTTCATATTATATAAACTCACAAGGCAAATAAAAAATTGACACATAGCACCTGAAACCCAAAAAAGCTTTTGTACTTGTAAAAACCTAACTCAAAACTGGTGCTTGAACTCATTTTAACAGCAGCGAAAAAAAGCGATTCATTCGGTTATGAATAACATCTCAGTTAGAGGTATATTTGTCAATTCATGTATGAAATTTTTAAGGTGGCCACAATAATTCTTTCAAACAACGTTCGCATTTTAAAGCAACTATATTCAAGACAAGTTGGTGTCATATCAGTTTAATTAAAACCAATAGATTTGGGGGGAAAATATTGTAAGTATATTATGATTATTTAATATTATTTATGAAATGTTTGCTTAAATATATATATGAGCCGTGTATAGAACACTGGATATACAAGAGATGATCCTCACTGGACCTCTATACAGGAAGAACAGTTTAGAACTGATAGAGCTATCCAGTTTAAATAAAGTTAGTTTAGTTTAGGTTTCCTCCTGTAGTAACACTGGATCAATAAGAGATGATCCTTACTGGACCTCTAGGAAGAACAGTTTAAAACTGATAGAACTATCCAGTATAAATAAAGTTAGTTTAGTTTAGGTTTCCTCCTGTAGTAACACTGGATCAATAACAGATGATCCTTACTGAGCCTCTAGGAAGAATAGTTTAGAACTGACAGTGCTATCGAGTATAAACAAAGTTAGTTTAGGTTTCCTTCCGTAGTAATACTGGATCAATAAGAGATGATCTTTATTGGCATCTAAGAAGAACAGATTAGAACTTATAGAGCTTTCCAGCATAAATAAAGTTAGGGGCTTACATGGACCGGGCCAGCCCGGTTAACCGGGCTGAAAAATGTCACGAAAATCTTCCTTGGGCTGCAAAATGAGTTTTAAATCGGGTTTAGGATGATTTTGCATCTATAATAAACCAATTATTTATCGCAAATTTATTTTACGCGAGTTT